TGGGGCTTTTGCTCAGGGTTTGTGTTACAAATCCTGTTTGTGGTGTTTTTCCAATTTACTGCTGATGTAGTTTACTTCATGTTGTTAAACATTTTCTGCTACACTCAGACTCTGTGCTTGCGAGAGGGGAAGTATGGCCTCCTACAGGCACCCAGGAGGGTGGTATGTAATTGTCCCAGGTCACTGGGTGGGGGCTCGAGCCGGTTTTGCATTGCGTTATTGAAACAGAACCCCTAGATACTGAACCCAGCCCTTGTTGCTGTCAACTCAGATGGGCAGAAGGGTTACACATAGCTGGAATTTAATTGACTTGATACTCTGGACACCTGCTTCCATAATTCCAGGGCTTCTAACCCTACATTAGCCTTACATGCCATATCAGTAACATCAACCCAAACCTTACCCAGCCCTACAGGTGATAACAATTCCAACAGATTCACCATGACACTGTTCATGTGTGACAATGCTCTACCAAGCATGACGCCCTTCTGTGGGCTCTCATAGAGTGGTTATGTTTCTGCAAGATGCTTAACACAATTATCAGTGCAATGAATTTAAAGGATGAAATCTCTGCTAGCAACCCATCTGCATCTTTTGCCTAGTACTTGAACCAGCCAGCATTCCTCACACTTGAGCAATCTCTCCAGCGTGTCTAGGAAGCAATTGAAAAGGTTCACAAACACATCTAAAGAGGCACATAGGCAGATCCACCATGCGTCACTCAAGGCTGGAATCTCCCGCTGGCATACGCCGTGGAGTTCCTGGACCCTCATGAATATGTTATGATGCTTTGCAGCAACGCTGAAAAAGGAGTGAACCTTCTCCATAAGTCTAAACGTTTTGCTGATCTGAGGGATGCCTTGTGCTAGGTCAGATCAATTAGATTCCACCTATGTGCCACGTAGTGAATACTGTCTGGCTGCATTTACAATAGTTGGGATGCCATTCATTGTACTAGACCTGACATTGGCCTCATTGAAACATTGTGCTATGCAATTTTGGACTGAGAGCCCGGCCTTCCCGATTTCATCCAGCGTCTCCTGAATCGACGTCTAGATAGTGCACGCAGAGAAAAAACTGCTCAATATCGGAGATGTCCTTAGCTTTGTCAGCCATCAGAGCAAATTAGCTCGTCCAAGAGTCATTGTCTTTTATGTAATCACTGACACAAGCTGCAGCCACCCCTAGCATCTCCTGTGGGATCATTTTTGCAACATGGGGGGTGTTTTTGTCGCAGAAGGTTCCGTCCCACCGATGAAGTAAATCAAGGGTCACAAAATAGTTTCCCCTTCGGAGCAACTTTTCACTCTTGTCCTGCCCAGGTAGGGACACTTCTTTGTGAGCAAGCGTGAGAGTGCAGTCACCAGTGTGCTGAAAGAACAGCTGATTCTTTGTGACTCACGCTATCCTCCCGAGTCGATATGGGCACCACTTTTCACAGACTGATAGATTCCAGGGGCAGAAGAGACCATTGTGATTATCTAATCTGACCTTCTGGATAGCACAGGCCAGAGACCTGCCCCGAATTCATTCCTACAACAGTGCTTTAGACAAACATTCAACCTTCATTACTAATTCTCAGTCATGGAGAATCCACCACAACTCTTGGCAAATTGTTCCAATGCTTAATTACTCACACTATTAAAATTTACACCTTTATTTCTAGTCTCAATTTATCTAGCTTCAAATTCCAGCTATGGGATCCTGTTAGACTTTTCTCTGCTAGACTGAAAAGCCCATTATTAAATATTTGTTCCCTATGTAGATATTTATAGACTGTAATCAAGTCACACCTTAATCTTCTCTTTGCTAAGCTAAATACATTGAGTATTTATCTTTGAATCTGTCAGTACTAGGCATTTTTTCTAATCATTCACATGGCTCTTCTCTGAACTCTTTCCAATTTAGAAACATCTTTCTTAAACTTCCCAAAAATAATTCCTAGAGCAGATCTTTTGACTATCAAGAATTTTAGTTACAAGCTGGGGACGCATCGGTTGGAAATAACGGAGGAGGAGAAAGACCTCGGAGTCCTGGTAGACCGCAGGATGACTATGAGTCGGCAATATGACGTAGCAGTGAAAAAAGCCAATGCGGTCTTGGGATGCATTAGGCGAGGTATATCTAGTAGGGATAAGGAGGTGCTGCTTCCGTTGTACAAGGCACTGGTGAGACCT